TCCATCGGTGAATGCGGGCGGCGGAGGTAGTGCTGGTGGCGGTGGTGGTGGCAGCGCGTCAGGTGGACCGCCCAACGGACATGGTGAGCTGCAGTCGCATCACCGGATGAGCGACAATGGTCGGGAAGATATCGGTAAGTTGGCCCAAAGGAAAATAACAGGGTAATTGTGGCTAAGCTAGTTGAAGTCTTTTGTAAGACAATTGAAAGGCAGAAAGGCGTGATGCTTTGAAAGATTTTGCTTATTCTGGCACGACATTTTTTACAAAAAAAGCTCCCTCACCTGCCCTCATGGTGAAAAGCTCTTTCCACAGTGAGCACTTGTATATAATTTTGCTTGCGCTGCTCCAAAAGTCGCAATAAGCTAGTGGGCTAAGCAGTGGTTGCCGCTCGAAAGATCCCTGGTTCAAGTCCACGGACAGCGGAATTTGTTTTCATTTTTAATTTATTAATTTTTTATTTATTTAATTATGTTTTAATTTTTAGAATTTATTTTTTTTTTAAATAAATTTAATATTTAGAAACATATTTTATTTTCTTATTTGTATACATATATTTTTTCTGTTTTTAATTAATTTTTAGATTATACTGTTTTAACAAGAACAATAAGTTTTTTTAATTTAATTTTATTTTTAGATACATACTTTTAATTTTTTAATTTTAATTTTCAGATTTTATTGTTTTAAAATGAAAAATGTGTTTCTGATATCACTTAATTGTTAAGAAATTTTTATTTTCTTTCATTCTTTTATTTAATTTTCTTTTAATGGAAAATCCTATTTTGTTTATTATATTAAAATTATTTTTTTTCAATACGTGTTTTCTAACTTAATTTAATTTTAATTTTTAAAATATATTTATTTAAAAAAAATATTTACTTATTGCATTTAATTTTAAGAACCATATCTTATTTTATTTTCGTTTTATAATTATTTTATATATTTTCTTTTTATAATTATTACTTTTGTTTTAAATTAAATTTTCTTCTAATATCAATTTTAATTTATTTTCTTAAATGATTGTATTTTAACTTTAAGATTTTATTGCTTTAAAAAGAAAAATATATATGTAAATACAGTTACCTTTTTTAATTGAATTGAATTTTTAAAAACATATTTTATTTTCGCATTGTTATTTATTTTTTTTTTCTTTTTTTAGTTTAATTTTCAGATTGTATTGCTTTAAAAAGAAAAAAATTGTTTTAATTTCTTTTTATTTTAAGAAAGTTACATATATTAGCTAATTATTTTATTTTTTTATATTTTATTGTTTTCAATGAATATTTTGCATCAGTGATAAATATCAATTCCTCATTTTACACTCTTTTCTTTCAGTATCCACACCATCCACCGTCGGACCCTACGATGCGGCCAGTATTACAAAGACCACCAGCAATTCAGCATTCACGCCCATCAATTCAATGCCACCACACTTGAATACACTCAGTCACCATCCGATGGCGCAGCGACCCTATCTGTATGATGCCATCAGTTTCCAAAATAAGAATGTCAATCAGAATAATTCGAATACCTTTCCCAATCAACTGATATCGCTGCATCAAATAAGAAACTATGCGCACCAACCGGCTGGACTAATGGCTGGCGAGCATTTGCTTGGCGTTAGTGTAGGGCCTGGTAAAGACAAAGGATAGCTATACTTTTAAGTGCGAAAGCACGAAACACTCACAGGGCAGGAGTATTCAGATGAGCTTGAAGAATATTTGAACCGAGCTGGAACGACATGGTGTGGCAGACAGACCACCTTACTGAAGGAGAAAGTGGATATACATCTAAATAAATACATAAATGGAATTGCTAATGAAAAATAAACAACAACTTGCGATGATTTTAAGTAAAATTATGTATGCACAAATCCCAACTTATCTACAGCGCCTTAGTCTTTCTTCTTCTTACGCTACACACATTAAATGTTCTGTGGGTTCTACTTTCGCACAGTATGCTGAACGTCGTCTGATTTGGTTTAGGCTAAGTAAAAAAAGATTGTAAAAGTATTTTGTACAGATTTTAAGATAGCATTTTAAATTTAAGTATGTATTGTGTATAAATTTTTAACATTCACTTACCGTCCATTTGCGTTGAAATTTCAAGGAGCAATAGATATGAAAAAACAATTTCTTTTTCAAAAACGAAAAACTCATTTCTACATGTTTTATATTACATATATAACTGCGATTTATTTTAATTAGATTTAGGCGCGATATGATATAAATACATAGTATTTATTTTTATACGAGTATCGGCCTAACTGGTCCATAGTTATGATTGTACTATGAGAAAACTATTCCCCATATATGTAAATATGTAAGATTCTCAAGTTGGTTCCCATTTCTGTTACCGTTGACCAAAATCTAAATTCATTTCCAATCGCTTTATGATCCAGATCGAGAATCACAATTCCATTTTCTTTTCTTAACTATGTACATATTTAGCTTAGTTTTGGTAACCGGAGCTTTTTTTGCCAATAGCCCAGCTTGTCTGTCAGAATATACTGTTGTTTATTTTTGTACCCGACCTCATTACTTAAAACCCAATCCAAGTTTTTCCGAGTAGACTCCTGTTCCCACACCGCAATCCAATCTATATCCGTCGAAATAAGAGAGATAACCTTTTTATCGGGAACGCGGCCGCTTCTCCATTCTCTTCTTGCACACTATAGCTGAAATCCAGATTACCTACCCTTTAATCTATCGTCCTTTCTTATTGCATTTCATTAATCACCAACCCATTCCGAAGCAGCCTCATCCCACAAAGGTATGACGCTATAAGTCTGGTGGCCGATTTCATAGCCACTTCTCTCAGGTCAAGATCGATAGCGATCAGGTTGAAGATAGCATTTGGTGCTTCTTTCGGCAGGATCTTTGTTTACTCGTTCCTCCGGCGCCTGCTTCCATGTGGGTGATTTGGCGTTTACTTTTTTGCTAAGTGTTTGGCTGAGCTTCTCCCCGAATTTGTGCTAGCTATACACGTGGAGATAAAAAAAACTTTTTCTAATTTAGGCATTGCCTGGAACAGATATCGCACCCAGGCCGTGCGGCGTGATAGTACGCACCGTTAACCCCTCAGTTACTGATATTTGATTTTTTTTTTTTGCTTGATATGTCATCTACCTTTTTTACCGCTTGGTGAGCTCCACGAATATTAAAAACCTTGAGGATCAACCTTTTTTATTTGATCGAAACCATCTTGAAAACCAAACGAATGACAGAAAAGAGTATGTACGTATGTAAATTATCGGACTCAACGACCGATTTACATAAGACTTGAATAGTTTTATCCTTTGGGAAACAAACTACGGGCGTAGTGAATTGAAACCTTTCACTAAACTAGTTACTGACCAGTTATCAAAAATCCTCCCGTATATTCACAAGAATTTTTCAAGATTTCGCAAGCATTTATTTTCTGGTATACCGCAATTAACAAAAAAAAACCGGCATGAGATTGAATTACGCGTTTCACTGGCGATCGCAAAAATGCACTCATAGCATAGACAGAGGGCAGCGTTGATCCGATCAACTTTTTCATTCGGAATAAATCCTAATTAATTAAGTCCTGTAGCTAATCCTCAAATTAATGCGGATCAAAAGAATTTTCGATGACAACACTGGCCAAGCGGTGATCTGTTGTCAATCGTCTAAGTAAACAAACAAAGCAAGTGAGTTTGACGTCGGCTATAGTCGAGTGGTGACAACAACGTTCTACAATTCCAAGGGTTTGAGTAATGGCCGAAAATTTTTTGTTGTATTTTTTTAATTTTATTCTTTTATTTTTTATTTAATTTGATTTCCATATTGACACCTAAACTTAAAATTTTGATTTTTTAATAGGCAGCTGAGATAGGGCGTTTTCAAACCGAATTCTGAAATAGGATGTTCTTGAAAAGTTTTCTGAGATAGGGCATTTTAGCGCTGGCTGCCAAGATCTGTCGACCTTACACTCAGGTGTCGTTATCTTATTTTACTTTTATTGGTTTTATTTAATTTTATTTAATTTTATTTAGTTTTATTTAATTGTATTTAATTTAATTTAGTTTAGTTTTATTTTGTTTTGTTTTATTTTATTTTATTTTATTTTATTTTATTTTATTTTATTTTATTTTATTTTATTTTATTTTATTTTATTTTATTTTATTTTATTTTATTTTATTTTATTTTATTTTATTTTATTTTATTTTATTTTATTT